AGGGGTTAGCAAAATTCACAACTCGACACCATTTGTCAAGTTTTATCTTTTTCACTTTTCCTCTGCAAATTTAGCCATAGTCGTAGTTTTGGAGCTCTCATTGAAGCTCCATAGGAGTAGGGCTAATTTAATATAGATTTGCCTCGTAGTTCATCAAAATATTTAACACCCTTATTTGAACTTTGTTGAAAGAGGTGTGAACTGTGTTTGTTAATCATTTGTTTGGAAGTCAAAAGTGCATTCAATTATGTTCCGTCTAGATTTTCTCGCCGGGAAAACAAGTAACCATGATTAAGGCTTCACAACATTGCATCTCTTAAAGTCAACAATTCTAGTAAAAACGGATCCGAAAGGCCATCGTAAAACTTATCGTATGCGAAAACCAAGGATCGATCTCCTACTAAGCCAACAAATCCAATGCTTCCTCCCAATCCCCGCCTCGTCGCTGTCATGAACCAGTTGATCCCAATAACTTGAGTTGTTGGAAGAGGTTCAATCGTAGATCATATACCACACACTAACACGCCCCCTCAAACGAAAGCCGCTCACAAGGGCTTGAAGTTTGCATAGGTCCACGCACCATGTGCTTAACAAATGGGGGTTACCAGGATTCGAAAACAAGACCTCTCGGTCAAATAAGGCTCTGATACCATGTCATGAACCAGTTGATCCCAATAACTTGAGTTGTTGGGAGAGGTTCAATCGTAGATCATATACCACACACTAACAGTCGCGCCATCAAACCGGACAAGGAGACCACCTGGAGGGCACATTGGAGTTGTTGGCGGCTGCCTGGGCTGCCTCGCATGTAGTGGTTGATTCCTTGGCGCAGCAGTCGCCTCTCGCCATTCATCAACCTACCTAGTGTACTGAAAAAAGAGGAGTCCGGGTAAGTATTGAAATTTGTCATAAACCGACCAACAATGACCTTTCCATATTCGCCATGTTAGAAAGACAACATCTGCATTTTCCAACTTTGAGAGCTGCATAGAAAAGAAAAGATTATGCCAAGCAAGATCATTATCCACATTTGCCATAGCTATCCGAATATGTTCCTTCCCAACAAAGATCCAAACTCCTCTAGCAACCCTACAATCAAAGAAACTATGAGAAATGGTTTCAGCGAAAACAAAGCAAACCAGACAGACATTTGAATCACATAAATACTTCCCTTTAAGTATCTACTATAGTGGGAGGAATCCTCTTACAACACGCCATAAGAAGAACTTAGAGTTTTGGAGGAACATGGAGGCTCCATAATGTCTTCCAGAACTGTCTGTTGAGATGTGGAGGGAGCTGGTCAAATTCTAGCTGCCTGGTAGCTGCTTGCAGTTGGTAATCGGATATGACGGTGTACAGGCCGGTATTCGAATAATGCCAAATGAGCTTGTCGGGTTGCGGTGCGGAGGGAAGAGGTATGGAATGGATCCAGGACACACTCTCTAACATAAAGGATGTGTGTATTAACTCGCCATTCCAAGTTCTTGTGAGGGGATGAATAAGGGAAGCAACATAAGGATTGCCAAGGGAGATACCGGAGAGTAGAGACGGAGCAGAAGGTGGTGTTGATGGAAGCCATGGATCCTCGAGGATTCGGATTGTTGTTCCACAGCTGACCTACCATCGCAATCCTTTCTTCAGCAAGTTACATCCTTCAAGAACTCCATGCCAAGCCCAAAAAGGGCGAGAACCAGTCGGGGCAGTAAGGAAATCACATTGAGAGTGATACCGAGCCTTGTACAATCTTCCAAGGAAGGAATCCGGAGATATGAGCACCTTCCAAACTTGTTTGTCAAGCATTGCCACATTGAAGAGATCAAAGTCCCAGAATCCAAGACCTCCATGGAATTTACTAACACAAACTGCAGGCCTTCCAAACCTCACATTTCAGCCCATAAGATTGAATTTAGTTAGAGTATTGACAATAGTAAAAAAAACTTGGGACCAAGGATTGAACCATTATTGGATTCGTTCCGGATCAAATATCAATTCAACTCATTTGTCTTTAATATATATTCGATCTGATCCAAATATCGGTTTGATTTGATCCGAACCAACCCGTTTGCACATAGGAAACCATTGATGTTATGTAGGGATGGCAATGGATCGGGTTGGGTCGGGTTTTGCCAAACCCAAAGCCAAACCCATGGGTTTATCTGTGAAAAAAACTCGGGGTAAAACCCACTGGGTTTGAAAAACTCAAACCCAACCCAACCCGCTCGGTATCCGCGGGTTCATGGGTACCCACGATTTTTTGTCGTATTACAATAACAAGTTCCTATCAAAATTAAAGTCAAATATCAATATCTCAATATAAATTATTCATATATAAAACACCATTCTAGAAAATTCAAGCAAATCACAAATCAACTATACAAATTGTTCAACACCAATCTAGAAAACTCAAGAAAATTGAAGCAAATCACAAATTATCCATAAATAACATGATTAATTGAAAACTTCTTCCTTTCAATTAAGTTTCTACACTCTCCACTCGATAACATCAACTTCATTCTACACAATTAGAAAGAAAAAATTAGACATGTCTCCACAAACATAAATAAGATTAGTTGTTTAGAATATTAAATAGGGTTAACACCTTATTTTGGCCCGAACTATGACCATATAATCAACTTTGGCCCGTGGTTTCAGAAATTAACATCCTGGCCTCAGCTATGCAGCATATAGACTCAATTGGCCCGACACATGGTTTCACCGTCAATTTGGATGGTCAACACCGTTGACTATTAGTTAACACGCCATGTCATTGCCTCGTCAATCTAAAAATTATTAAAAAAATCAAATTCAAATTATTTTCCTAATTTCTATTATTATCATTTTCAAATTAACCAAAAAATAAAATTTATATTTTATTTTTTGGGATATTTGAAAATGATAACTTTTATAAATTAACCAAAAATTTAAAAAATATGATATAAATTATATATTTTATTTTTGGGTAATGTTAAATATATAAAATAATTTGATAATTTTTGGTTAATTTATAAAATGTATCATTTTCAAATTACTCAAAAAATAAATAAAAATTTATTTTATGTTTTTTTATAAATTATTTTTCATTAATTTGATTATAAATAATAAAAACTAAAAAATAGTTTGAATTTGAATTTTTTAATGAATTTTAGTCTGACGAGGCAATGACATGGCGTGTTGACTAACGGTCAATGGTGTTGACCATCCAAATTGACAGTCAAACTAGGTGTCGGGCCAATTAAGTCTATATGTTACATAGTTGAGGCCAGGATGTTAATTTCAGAAACCACTGACCAAAGTTGATTATATGGTCATAGTTGAGGCCAAAATAAGGTATTAACCCTATTAAATATACCTAAAAAATTAATTATATGGGTGTGGGCCGGTATTCATGGATCGGATTTACCTAAATCCAAACCCAACCCAACCCGATGAATAGTAAATGGGTTTAAACCCAAACCCAAAACCAGTCAACACAGATTTTACCTGCGTTGGCCGGGTTGGGTCGGATGGGTACCCGTGAGTTTGGGTTTTGTTACCATCCCTGATATTATGTAATGTAGGTAATACTAGTACACATAGAAATCAATGACTTTCAAAATCATCAACAAAATCAACACGAAGGTATGTAATGTAGGTAATACTAGTAATCCAAATTTGACTCCTTTTGGAGGGGCCCTTTTTAATTATTCCATGTGTTCTTCCTTTGCCTCCATCGGTACGTCGTCCGTCGCTGCCTGCGATGTACATCAAACATCACCGAAACAAAAATTTGTCTCCCCTTGTAAGCTTTGGTCCACCTTTGTCCATTTCAGTTTCCATCAAGCCTCGGGCATTCATATCGTCCAGAAGATAGATCAATAGCCCACAGAAAATTAAGTTGTCGTTGTGAAACTATTGAAGCCTCTAGTGCTATTGTGGTAGTTAGTACTATTGGCTCTTATGCAATCCTTCCATCTAATCAACCATTCATTTGTTGCCAAAGGAAATAAAGGGAAAAAGTCATTGTTTGTGTTGGTTTTGATTGTCACATACCGTTTCGATGTTGCTTCGCGTGGTGCGATATCGTCCACAAGATCAGGGGTGTTATAAAATAAAATGAAGTTGGGTTGTTCTGTTTCCGAGCAGCATTTCGCTCGCCCACTATGCATATCCCTGGTGTTGTTTTTTTATCTTTACTGACTTTTATGACTCGTCGTCCATACAAATTAGACTCTCGCCCTTGCTCACTGACTCGTATAACGTTAGATATATCATGACAATAGACACAGTACATTGTTGAGGGTGTTCCTAACTAATCGAAATGCAAAATCATTAAAATTTACTATCACCTTTCCACGATTTCCCACCTCCACAAAAAATATACAAATATATAAAAATGTAAGAGATAAGGCACCCGTTACACATTAAAATAAAACAATTGTTTTGTTTGCTAACCCACGTAGAGTAGTGTACTCTTACATGCATTTCCATTGTTGTAATTCCTTAATTGGTTCTTCACTATATAATCGGTCTCTTAAAGCAAGCGGCGGTGCACAGCTGAAGTGCTGAACCAACCTCTGCCACGTTTAATGCGTCAAATTATTCTTATTATTTTATACAAAAAAAGCCCATCCCGATCTGAAGTAGCAATCAACCCACTAGCAGGCCCACTAACCCATCAATATAATAATTACACAATTATCACACAAATTCCAAGTAACCCACCTAATTAACTATGGTGGCGGTTCGATTTTTCGGTTTTAATCGAAATCGAATCGATATGCTTATCCAGTTTTAGTGGCGGACCTGTTCAATGCCAAGGGTAGTCACTTGACAAATCTTGGCTAAAAACTTTGAACAAATTAGTATAGGAAAAAATATATTGTTGTTAGCGGGATTTGAACCCTTGAGATTTTTGACAACACTTACACCTAATAGAAATTCCATTAAACCACTATCCAATTGTTGTTATAGACATTCCAAAGCAAATATATAATGTTCAAAATTAATTCCCATTTAATCTGCCGAATCCAAGTCCCATTAAGATTTGATTAAATCTCCTTCTCTTTTTTGGGGAATGAAAACTCTACCCCAATAAAAAAACAACTCTCGACCCTCTGACGCCCTGTATTCCCAATTACAATTCCCAATTTTTTGACAGAACCCTTGCTTGGCCTTCTTCTATCATCGACAACTCATTGATGTACTTTATGAATTAAATTTATTTTTATTATTTAATGATTTTATATTTATTTTTGTGAATACCCTTGACAAAATTTCTGGATCCGCCACTGTCGGGTTCTCAGTAAAATTTGAGAATCTCCTAATGGTTTCGATTTTAGTCAATTGAAAATTGCTAATAATTCGATAAGTCTTAGCGCAATTAAATGTTCGTTTTTGGTTTATTATGATAAAAACTTTATAAGCCTTTTATCGGTAAATCGAAAGCCGGTTAGCTCTTCAAGATTTTCATTTTGATTTTAATAATTGACTAATTAGGATTTCGTTTTTTTTTTTTTTTACTGATTTCGGTTCGGTTAACCAAGCCAAAGCCAAATCAACCAACACCTTAATAATTAACCCATTCCCATTTCCCACTGAACCACCCAAAACAATAAACAACAAACAAGCAAACCCGCAAAACGAAGAAACAGAGGAACCACACCACTCAAAATCAAAATCCCTCCACCACGCCAAACCAAACGACCAGCGCCACACTTTTCTTGATTCCTCCCAACTCCCAGGTGTTTGGCAAGCCGTTGTATGGCGGGGAACGGCGGAGGAGCTGCGGCGGCGATTGTGGATGAGAAGTTCTGTTACGGTGAGGAGACGAGCCTGACGGTGAGGAAAACGTCGGTTTTCTTTCCAGGGGATGGGTTCCTGGTTTACGACCCGAACGGGGAGGTTCTGTTTCGGTTCGATTCGTACGGGCCCGAGACCAAAGACGAGCTGGTTCTCATGGACGCTTCCGGCAAGTGCCTCCTCACCCTCCGGCGCAAGGTTAGTAATAAGACGAAAACAGAGTGTGGTTTAATGTTTTATGTTTATCTCTTTGCCATTGCCTCTCTGTTTTTTGTCCTTAGAAATTTCACCCACTTTTCTCCCCTGTTTTTCCTTGACTATTAAGTTGGTTGAGAGGTAGTTGAATGTTAACCATGAAAACAAAAACAAAAAGATAGCTGAATGTGGTTTTGATAATTAATTCATTTATCATTGAACACTTATTTCATGATTTCATCGATGTTGTGGTGGATGTAATTATCTGTGTACATGACTACATGTTACACTGTTTAAGAATATACCAAAAAGTATAACGAGTTCGTTGCTTTAGTGAAGCGTCATTCATAAACAATTGTTATGGTGTATGCAGCCTGCAGGTAACGTTTTCTCATGAGTTATGAGATGTATAACTTACGACACATCTAAAGTACATATTCGATTATATGTATGACATGCGTACGTTGGTCATTTATAAATGACACATAAAAATTTGTAAGTGTTAACGGATGATATGTAAATCTTACATAAATTGTATGTAAACATTAACTTACAAGGTTCACAAATGATTTGTTTAAAAATGATAAACTCATTTGTTAGTCATTTTCAAACTATAATGGTATACTATATGCATATGAAATTCAAGATGCGATATAGACACGTCACTTGAATTAACATGGTTGTATATCTTTGAGATGTTAGACAGGAAGTTTCCAAAAAAAAAATCCAATTTGGTAACTAATATTAGCCATACTAGACTTCGAACACAATTTTTTTTCTTAATTTCACTTTGGCCTAATCCAAATTTTTTTTTACAATTTGTCATTACATGTTCATGTTTTTTTAAGTACTTCTTAGCTCTCATCTTAGTTGGACGCAAAAGTTCCAACTATCCACATGTCAGATTGTTATTGACGGACTCACTTTTCTTTTGTCTTGATATTTAATGTTCTTAATAATTATGCTAAATAAAAAAATTAAAATAGAAACAAAAAGATAAGCTCTCTAATAGAAAAGCGTCCAATCAAGGTTGGAGCTAAAAGATTTCTTTTTTTATAAGTAATAACACAAAATTTGACTCTTCGGATTTGACATGTGTCTTACACAGAAGCCAAGTCTCCATAACAGATGGGAAGGCTTCCTCGGCGAGGTTGGATCCAACCACGACGCCTTCTCCGCCGCCGACGGCGAGTCAACGGCGATCGGCCCCATCTTCACGGTGTTCAAGTCGAGCATAATCGGACAGTCCTCGCTGATGGTAGAGCTCTACAACGATTCGGGGGAAGAATACCAAATCGAAGGCTCCTACGTCCACCGATCGTGCACCGTCTACTACTTCTCCGCCGCCGGCTCGACGACAAAGGAGCCCGTGGCGGAGATCAAGCGCAAGGTGGACCCCACCACCGGCGTCACGCTCGGACGCGACGTGTTCTGGCTCTGCCTCAGGCCAGGGTTCGACGGCGCCTTCGCCATGGGGCTGGTCCTCGTCCTCGACCAGATGTCCGGCGACCGCGTCGCTGCCGTCGTTGATGGTGGCGGCGAGAAGGAGGGTGGCGTTGATGGTGGTGTGAGTGCGCTGCAGATGAGTACGGTTGTTCCGGTATCGGATTAGTGGGGGGTGTGTCGCGGCAAGGATTGCGAAACTGTACTGGAGGAGGTTATACGCGGAAAAAAAAGAGTCGGGGCAGTGAAGTTTTTCGTATTGAAACAGTGACTCGGAAAGTTTCGTACTGTGCTGAAATTGCATATATCGGTTTGGGTCCGATATTCGGTATTTCCAGTTCAACTGGTCGATACAGTATAGGGTTTTCTCAATCACTGTGTGTGTCAGACGTCTGTGTTACTTCTTTTGAGTTTTGACGGTTGTTGAAAATTTCGAATGTAGACATTGATGAGCGTGGAATATTGTTTTAAGTTTTTGTATCGGTTTCTATGAAACTGGATCGTGCTTATATTATTTTTTTCGTCGCTTAATTTGTGGTCAAATGATTGTGATGCATAAAGAATAAGTTGTGAAGTATTCATGCATTGCGCTCTGCATAGTGATTATTGGCTGGACGACTAAAAAATGGTAAACATGCACTTATATTTATCAGGTTCACAGTTCACACAACCAAATCAAATTGTTATAATTACTAATTGTGTGTCAGCATGATTATCCTTATCTCTGTACTCCAATTCAAAGATAAGGTGAATTCTTAACATTATATGCAAGTTTTTGGTAAAATAAGATCAACTTACTCTAGACTGGTTCAGAATTGTCCATTTGGTATGATGAAAATATAGTATATGTTTTCACGCCGTCTAATTGACAATAGCCAAGATTATACACCCACTGCATGGTTTGGGCGCGAGAGGCCCATCTCTTTCTTGGTTTGACCGTTCTATTCGTAACTTTGTTTTAAAATTTTAAGTTTTGAGGAATTCATTTTTAAATGAATTTTTTTTGTATTTGAAAGAATTCATTTTCAATTCTAAATTTTGAATTCTACGGAATTGGAACTAGTTATAGTAATTCCGAGGAATTGAGATGGAATTTCCAAATGAATTCCACAAGTATTTACTATTTTTAATAGAATGATATAATTATCCTCTTTTATTAACTAAATTACTTATACATATGACATACCAAACATAGGAATTCATTTGACAATGAATTCTAACGACAATTTATTTTATTTTTAAAGATTTGAACATGACATACCAAACACAAGATTTCATTTGAGAATGAATTCTACACGGCAATTCATTTTACAACGAAATGAATTCTCGATTCATTTGGTACCAAAGAGGTTGTTTGGTAAGTATGTAACTTAAAATTTATGTATTTGGAGAACTCACGTATGTTGTATGTTGAGTTGTGACAACTCATGCAAAGTCAAAATGTATTGTTTGACCTGCACGAATTCAAGGTAAACCCACATAATTCGACATAAAATCTCAAATACTTTGGTCAACCCAATGAATTTAAGATATCATGGCCACAAGAGTTATGTAATTACACGATGAACCAAAAAAAACCATGATGTTTTCCCAAAAACATGAAAACAATGTATTCAAGATATAATATATCACTAGTTTTTTGGCCCGCGCTTTGCAGCGGGAGAAACTAATTATATTTAAAATTTCATCTACATATTTAATGATGTAGTAATTCATAAAATTTGAGTAAGATATCACTATATGCTCAACGTAGTATCTAAATCATTACTAATGAATTATGTCATAAGTTTGTTCAAGTGATACATAAGAAATATCTATTACTCCATAAGTTTAAGGTCATATATTTGTAATTTACGTAACTGTTAATGAAGGGTGTTATGTAAATATTCCATAATGTGTGGTCTAATAATAAAATTAAGTTATGAAAAATATCACATTTGATTGAATTGTCATGTAAAAATGAACTAACATTGTGAAATATTTTCATAACGTATCTGTTAATAAACTTTGTTGTGTAGATCTTTCATAAATATGGTCTAATAATAAAATTAATTTATGTAAAATATCACATTTGATTAAACTATCATTTAAAAGTTAACTAACATTATGAAACCTTTTCGTAATGTAACCGTTAACAAATATTTTTATGTAATCTTTCATAATGTGTGGTCTAATAATAAAATATAGTTATGGAAAATATCATATTTGAATATCATTCTAATATGAGGAATTGAGTATAGGAGATAAAATGTTATGTAAAAAATAATTGATTTTGAAAAATCATTGTATAATGCAAATTAGGAAGAGCTTACGATGAAATTGGGCATAGGGAATTGAAACTATGTGAAATGTACCCCGTTGGGATTCTATTACTTACATTGCTCCTATTTAAACTGTCATGTAGAAGTTAACTAACATTACGGAACCTTTTTGTAATATAAATTGACGACATGGTTAATATTGTATTTAAAAATGAAATATTGTTAGTCAATAATCCAGAAAATAAATTGTGAAAAATGTGACATTGATGAAACTGTTATAGGGAAATAACCTTTGTGTAATCCAATTTGATGTGATAGTCAACAGTTTAGTTAATAATAAATAATTTTTCATTCAAACTTATATTATGAAGTACTTACGTAATGAGTTTATTTAATTAATACAAAATAAATAACTATCCTTTTATAGCTACTATGCAAGTCCTAATCATTATGGATGACTTATCTTTTTTTTTTCTTTTCGACAATAGATGACTTATGCATGACTTGTCTATTGTGTAATTGATACATAAGAAATAACTATCACTCCGTAAAATTTGCATGTTGTATTCGTAATGTACGTAACTCATATAGAGCAATGTTACGTGAATCTTTCGTAATGTGTGGTCAGTCGATAAGATTTATATAAGAACCTAAGATAAAATTGGGTATAGATAATAGAAACTCTTGTGAACAGTACCCGTTGAATTTTTTTTAATTACCTTGACCCTATTTTTCGTATATTTATATAAGAACTTATGATAAAAATTGGGTATATGTAATGGAAACTCTTGTGAACAGTACCCATTGGAATTTTTTAATTACCTTGTCCCTATTTTTTCGTATGCAACAGTAAACTAATGCTTGGCATGCTTGGTCTTTTAATATAATAATCTACGTAACCTTTATAGAACAATATTTCATAATGTGTGGTTACTATATAAGATTTAGATATTGTATTCGTAATGTACCTAACTTTTATTGAACAGTGTTGCGTAACTCTTTCATAATTTGGTCTAATAATAAAATAAAGTTACGAAAAATATCATATTTGAATAACATTTGGTATATGGGATTAAGTGTAGGAGATAAAATACTATGTAAAAAAATTATCTTGCAAAATTATTGTATTATGAAAATAAAAAAGAGCTTACGGTGAAATTGGGTATAGGGAATAGAAGCTCTTGTGAACGGTAATTTATGGTCTAATAATAAAATAAAGTTGCAAAAAATATCATATTTGAATAACATTTAGTATATGGGATTAAGTGTAGGGAATAAAATGCTACATAAAAATAATTGATCTTGCAAAATTATTGTATTATGCAAATAAAAAAGAGCTTACGGTGAAATTGGGTATAGGAAACAGAGGCTCTTGTGAACAGTACCGCTAGGAATTTTTTTAATTTATGGTCTAATAATAAAATAAAGTTACGAAAAATATCATATTTGAATAACATTTAGTATATGGGATTAAGTGTAGGAAATAAAATGTTACATAAAAATAATTGATCTTGCAAAATTATTGTATTATGCAAATAAAAAAAAGCTTACGGTGAAATTGGGTATAGAGAACAGAAGCTCTTGTGAACAGTACCACTGGAAATTTTTTAATTACCTTGCCCTACTTTTTCATATGCAACAGTAAATGGTTGCTTGGGTTTTTAATATATTGATTTGGAAATCATCGAGTAGAATACCTTATTAACAAACCACCCCTTGATATTGTCACTTACATTTTTCACTCTCCTCGCGCTCACGTCATATCTAGGGATGACAACAAAACCCAAACCCACGGGAACCCACCCGATCCAACGCGGGTAAAATTCGTGTGACGGATTTCGGGCCGGGTTTGGGTTTAAATCTGTTCACTATTCATTGGGTTGGGTTTGGGTTTAGGTAAACTCGACCCATGGGTACTGTCGCATGTGGCAGATGAAGAGTAAGGTCGTGACAGTACCCGCCCACACCCATATAATTAATTTTCTCAATATATTTAATATTCTAAACAACTAATCTTATTTATGTTTGTGGAGACATGTCTACTTTTTTTTCTTTCTAATTGTGTAGAATGAAGTTGATGTTATCGAGTGGAGAGTGAAGGCAGGCAGCTAAGAAGATAGATATACCAATGGCAAGAGTAAGCTTCTTCCTTTCAATTAATCATGTTATTTTATGAATAATTTGTGATTTGCTTCAATTTTTTTGAGTTTTCTAGATTGGTGTTGAACCCGCGGATACACAGCGGGTTGGGTTGGGTTTGAGTTTTTCAAATCCAGTGGGTTTTATCCCGGATTTTTTTCACGAATAAACCCATGGGTTTGGGTTTGGCAAAACCCGACCCAACCCGACCCATTGCCATCCCTAGACTCATATCAATGGTTGTCTAGTGTCTGCGTACACGCATCGTCAGGGTCGTGGCTTATCATTATGCAAGATGCAACAAACATGGTCGCGCACATCTCTTCGATGGCGCCGCACCACACGCTACACGACCCATGAACTATATCATATATGCTACAATAAAATGATGCCCAGACGATTTAAGGACACAAAAAAAAAACAAATCTTTCACAATTAAAAAAAAAAGATTTACAAGAATCTTGAGTGTTATTCCACTCGTACCGGTTCGAGTTTTGACCACTACTCAAAATGGATGTTTTTGGTGTCAATGGAATTGAAAATCTCAATAGATTCCACCCAAAACGAACAACCTCAGTATGACAACCACGAGGCTTGGTCTTTTACCCGCAAACAAGGAAGAAAGGAGAAACGAGACACGAAAACGGCAAAGGAAGGCGTGACAATAATGTGGCCTAAGGGCAGAAGTTTGTAAGCAAGTGATGATGACATTATATCATATTATTGAGAGGTTGGTTTTCCAGAAACCGGAGGCTGTAATGGAAATGGAAGGGAAAAGGGATTTTGGTGTGGTTTGGCTTCTGGGGAAGTGGAAGTCTGTGTTCCCAAAAAAGGTCACAAAAGTCTTTGGGAGACCCCCACTTTACCCTTTCACTTGCTCCCACCTTTATTAACCTTTCTTTTTGCCTTTGTGGAAGGGAGGAGGGGAATCAAAAGTTCACTCATTTTTTTGTTTGTGTCATTATGGGTAATTATTGATTCTCCAATTCGGATGAAGAAGAGCCTCTGGCTACGGATATGGTCAAATCATAATTTACCGATTTGTATGTGATCGAAAATGTTATGGAATCCGGTCAATACACTACTACGGGTTGGTGTTAATATGAGTGATGGCGTCTATTCACTTATGTTGGATGAGTTCTCTAGCACGGTTGAGGGAGGTTCATATTCGCTGCTTATATGAGAGGAAACATAATCGATTGAGTTTGGTCGATGGTTATCTAATAAAGTTATGAATTTCTTGAGATATGGATTTTTTTTAAGATGATAATCATTCTAATGCTTAACGTCTTGCTCATTTTACGAAATATATGTTTTTGGCCTGGTAATATTTAAACTATTTATGTAAATGACCTTGATTGTTCCTTTGTTGTAAGAATTTCTATTAACGAAGCAATCACATTCATCATATTGATTTTTTTGTACAACTAACTGGAGATCGAATTCTCAACATATCTCAATACATTAGCAGATTGCGTACACATTTATTCGAATGTTCATGTTGGAGGTTATAAAGAAGCATCTTTTATCCGAAAATGATGAAGTAGCAACTTTTTCATGCGACACATGTTTTAACTAGTTATTGAGGTTGCAAATGAGCGAGCTTTACCCCAGCTTGAGCTTGACTCATAAATAATCGAGTCGAGGTCGAGCTAGCCTTGTTTACAAAAATCTTGATTCATGTTTGATACATTCATTTTGTGTTATGTATGATACATGTGATGTGATAGATGTCATGTTGAAAAAAATAATAGCATCACAGCAGCGTCAACAAGACGTCCTGTCTACAAACAGGTTTCATGGTGCCCGCCGGAAGAAAACTGGACGCAAGTCCAAACCGACGGATCTGTTCTTCAACCTACAGGCACTGCTGCGGCGGGAGGACTTATACGTGATCATCTAGGCCATTGTATAGGTGCTTTTGTTAGCAACCTGGGCGTCTGTTCTATCACCAGTGCAGAACTCAGAGGAGCTGTGGAAGGCCTGACAATGTCATGGAATATGGGGCTCAAGAAGGTTCAACTGGGTCTTGACTCCACCACCGCTATCAATATCATCCAAAACTCTGAGGAGGAAGATCATAGACATGGTCTGCTTGCCAAGCATATCCGTGACCTTTTGAATAGAGAACGGGATGTTAGAATTTCCCATGTCTTTAGGGAAAGTAATTTTGCAACCGATTACTTAGCTAGTGTTCGGCATAAGTTTCCTTTTGGCACACATTCATTCGATGTGTGCGACCCGAAACTTTGCTATTGGCTCTCTTATGATGTAATGGGTAATATCCCATGATCGTTTAATCTATATGAATTAGGATGCTTCGCATCCACTTTCTACCCAAAAAAAAAAAAGAAAAAAAATAATAGTCAAAAGTTCAACATTAACTAATCTCATGTTCTACTCTGTTAGTATCAAACTATTTAGTTAATAAATATTTACTTATCCAAATCTTGTTATTTAATAGTATCGAATCAAACTATGATAAATAATTTCTTTTCATAATTATAAGACACATTTTGCTCACATACTTAACATCTTAAACATCATATAGGATGAAATATATAGTTTGACAAACCTATGAATTATCAAAATTCAAATCATAAGATGCAAACCGATTCACTAATAAGTTGGCAGACGAGTATCTTCTCTAGCCACAATGTTAAGACTGTTACTAAACAGTATATGATCCACGATTGAACCTCTTCCAACAACTTGAGTTATTGGGATCAATTGGTTCTTGACATGGTAGCAGAGCCTTCAGTTACCAGGAGGTCTTCTATTCGAATCCCAAATGACCCCCATTTGTTTCTGTTAAGCACATAGTGTCCGGACATGTGCCTGTGCAAACTCTAAGCCTATTTGATTCGCTTGAATTTGAGGAGGTGTGTTAGTAAACAGTATATAAACGAGCCAATTTACGAGTTGAGCTCAACAAACCACCAAGTCAAGCTAGCTCACGAGCTGAGCAAAGTTTAGCTCAAACTCTACTCGTTTCTGCAAACGATGAACAACTCGACTCATTTGTAGGTAACCCTACTCGTTACAAAGTAAATAGGATTGGGGGGAAAGATAGGCAAGGGGGTTGGTCCTAGGTCTATCAAATAATTCTGACAAATATGTATGTGCCCCAACAATAAATTAGACCTATCACAAAGAAAATGGAATGTTTATGTGAAAATGAAATATAAACAAAAATATGGTAAGGTTGTAGAAAAAGCTTGAATTATTGAAGGATAGAAAGAAAGGAGTAAAGAAATTGGATGTGAAGGAAAGGCCAAAGTTATGGGAAAGCAACCCTCCAATATCTCTCCCTCCCCCTTCTTCCCCCCTCCCCCCAATCTCTCATTATTTCTCTCCACTCTATTGCTCCCCAGCCAAAGAAACAAAACATCAGTTGGAGGCCCCGTGGAGAGAGAGATAGTAATGATTTGAAAGAAGTGAAGGCAAGAAAACAAACATTAGAGTGAAAAGAAGAAGAAAGAAATTGGAAGTGACCCATCCATTTCCCTTTCCTTTTGTTTTTTCGCTTTGCTTCTTCCTTCCCCTTTTCTCTATTTTGGATGGTAGAGAGAAAGTAATATATTTATCTCTACGAAGCTGGAGCAGCAGTAGTTCAGTGTACTACAGCTTCTTTAAGCATGTTCATCTTCTTCATATTGCTATCCCCTGCTTACCCACTCCTGGTTTCTTCATTTCCCTTCTCTTCTGGCCGCTGATTATGGTTGGATTGAGTGTTTGAGTTGGGTGATAGGAAAAGGAGAGAAAGATGCCAAGGCCTGGGCCAAGACCTTATGAGTGTGTTAGGAGAGCTTGGCACAGCGATAGGCACCAATCGATGAGAGGTTCAATCATTCAACAGATTTTCAGGTTGCTATTACTGCTTGGTCCTTCTGTTTTTCTGTTGGTTTCGTGGGGTTTTTCATTTTGTCTTAGAATTTCTGTGTTTTGATTTATATAGGGTTGTGAGTGAGACTCACAGTGCTGCAACTAGGAAGAACAAGGAATGGCAGGAGAAGCTGCCTATTGTGGTGTTGAAGGCCGAGGAAATCATGTACTCGAAAGCTAACTCTGAGGTGAGTTTGTAAGTTTTTCTATTTCCCCCCCTTTTCCCCGTTCTTTGCTTTGCTTAGATGTCGATCTTTGTTTGGGCGTTTGTTGTGTGTTTCTCGGTGCTCATTTCTATTTGGGCCTTTCTGGTTTGATTGAAGGCTGAGTACATGAGCCATGAAACCCTTTGGGATCGTGTAAATGATGCAATCAACACCATCATTCGCAGGGATGAGAGCAGTGAAAGTGGGAAGCTTTTGCCGCCTTGCGTTGAAGGTACACTAACACCACTGGGTTCTACAACAGAAATTTCATGTTTGATTTGCATGTAACTGGTAAATTATGCATCTGGTTTTAGATAAGTTTCGTGGCTCATTGCCTATATGGTGTTAAAGTTTCAACCTTTTTTTTTATATGTGAAGTTCATAGCATGTAGGGACTTCAACTTCCTTAATTTAGCGATGAATGGTTCATGTTTGTTTCAGCCGCCTTGAATCTGGGCTGCATTCCTGTGAGAGCTTCAAGAAGTCAAAGGCATACTAATCAGAGAAGTTACCTCACCCCAAGAGTCCAAGAACCTCCCCCACCTTCTTCGCCAGTGCCTGCAAGAACCTTGAATGATGCACATGCGGAAAGATGCCCTCAGTTACCGCCTTTTCACTCTGGCAATCAATATACAAGAGCACCAGCAACTTTGGATTCATCACCTCTTCCTGCTTTCGAGCGTAACAGTCAAAGGACTGGTGCTCCCAGCCATGCTGGCTCTTTGCCATATGATGGTGTGCCTTTGGGGCATGTCTATCCGTTATATTATGGAGATCACTATCAATACAAGGAGCCTCAGTTTGTGTCCCAAGTCCCAGAGAGAGCAGCATCAAACCCAATATACGTGGGCAAACCCATCGGTACGGCAGCAGCTGTAGATCCTGCTGCTGAAATGGGTGCATTGCAGAATTTCTTCTCCCCAGGTCTTGAGATTGCTTCACCAAGGACTACTCTTCCTGCCTATGAACAAAGAGCAGGAGCACATTGTGATTTGTCATTGAAGTTGGGTTTCTCCTCAGATCCTTGTATGACCTTGGAAAGAAGTTCGGGTCATGGAGACAACAATGGAAGGTTCAATGATCCATCTCCAGCAAACAACCAGGAGTTCAGTTTTTTCCCTGCTAGTAGTAGTCATGGTCCATTTGAGTTCCCTGCAATGAAAGGTGGCCCTAGTACAGATGCTTCTACCATTAGAGAGCACAGAGCACACTTCAGTGGCGATGTGGGGGAGGATGGACAGTACTCCTGCTGGCCACCAGGGTTTCCCACAAACAGGTTCGTCGGTTGAACCATAGAGGGGTCAGGTTTGTAGGCAAATGTTTTTGTTGTGTGTAGACGAAATGTATATCCGTGCGGGAGTTTGTGTTCTGCTTTTGAACTATATGCTCAGCCAATCCTTTTTGCTGCTGTCATTTTGCTATGTTAGAGTTCAGATGCAAGGGATAATGTTGAGATTGGCAGGCAGGCTGTGATGAGGTAAAATTGTAAATGAGAATCAATTTTCAATGCTTATTCCAAGTTGGTATTAGCTGGTCTTTTGAGGCATAGACAATGCAGGACTTATAGTTGTCCTGTGAGTTGTGACCTATAAGCAGATATAACTAGAATCAGTTAAAGACTCAATTATACTGAAAAAGATGATCTCTTTTCATCTAATAGTGCCAGAAAGCCCTCATTTTGTGTATGCACGCTTGATTTTTCCTGTTTAAGTTAATGTGAAGGTTTCTTGGTGCTAATGATGTGCTGTAGAGGCTTTGTTGAGTGTTGCAGAGCATTGCCATTTCAACTTCCACTTTTGTGGAGGTAGTTATGGTGTAGCAAGGTCCTAGTTTGGTGGCTCATTCTACAATGTGATTGTCCATCCACCTACTTCTAAGGCTACCCATCCTATCTCATTGATTTAACATTAGAAGAGGGTAGGTTTCATTTTGGCTGAGGGGTAGTTGACTCCTCCACAGTAAATCTTTGAAGCTTTGCTGCTCCAATGTCAGATTTGGGAGGGTAATTGAAACCTTGTTAAAGGTGCAAGCTTTGTTCACAGAACTCACAGATTTCACTTCGCATTGATCGACCTGTGTGGATTGTGATTTGTGATTGCACAGAATTCATGAGTGAAACACAGAACAACGTGTTAAACTGGAGTTGTATTGCTTTTTTGCCTTGATTGACTACTGTGTTTTTGAACTTTCACACTCCATCTGACAGCTCAGTTACACCATCAAATAACCCATTTAGCAGAAATGGAAGAATCATATTAAATTGTTGAATGATTCTGACAAAATGCTTCCTTTTGAATTCAAACAGAAAAGGAATAGTTTCTTTCTTCTTCTGCTGTTTCCTGTCTGGTATTGTATCTCTCTCTTTTCCTTCTTTCTCTGGGGTTGGTGTAGCTGCTTCCAAATCAATGAATAGGGGTTTCAATACCAAGGTTATGTGAGGGATCTCTCTCAGTCTCAGCACTGATAAAAGAAGAGAGGAGAAGATGGGAGACAGCAGCTGCAGCACCCTCAATTTTGCCTTTTTTCATTTATGTCATTTCACAATCTGGGGGCCAATTCTCTCAGTTATTGCCTAACTACATTATTTGGCATTGGCCCCAACAAACAAATTTCCCTTTCCTTTTCTTCTTTCTTCCTTCTCACTCTCACTCTCACTCTCACTCTCTATCTCTACTTTTCTCTTCTCCCCACAACCAGACACAGCCAAAGCAAAGGGCATTCCCATTTCCCCACCACCACCTTCCCCCCTCCACTCCATATATGTACATATATTTGAATGTTGGTGGTGGATGTGTCTCTTATGTAAAATGTTTATGTGATCTCTTATTCTATGGGGGACCCGGTGTTTTGGTGTGCTAATCCTGTAATGGGGGTCAATTACATAAATGATCATCGAATTTCCGAGACCGTTGACAAATCGTTAGTTCAGTTTTGAGTATGAATAGAGGTGTCAATTGCATATTCGAGTATAGTTGACAGATCGATAGTTTAGTTATGAGTACGAATAGAGACATCGTTAATATTTGGAATAAGTAACGTATCGGTCATCATATTCCTCTCGCGCTATTTTTCTTTGGAATTCCAGTTCAAGTTATCCGGTTTAGCACGCCATCATACGAACTAATAACAAAAAAGGGGCCTCAATCATAAACTAATAAGCCTGATTCTTGTTCCAAACCAAATCGATTAATCGGTCTGGTTACTTGGAATGGCTTCCAATTCCCTGCACTATGTCTACTTAAAAGTTAAAAGAGTGTGTTATTTGCAACTTTTCCATCATCCGTTAGGGTTTCAGATGACACGTCCATTTGTACAAAAACTTGATGGTGATGGATTGCAGTGGCCATTTTCTTTAGTTATTCCATATTTTAGAGGCAATATCGTTGACGATAAAAGTTAAGTGAGTCCCCAATAAAGAATCTTTTTTTTTAGTTTTGCAACGCCACGTGTCTACCAGAGAGGTAAGGGATGGTGATGAGGGTAGTAGGGCCCCATTCAGCCTTTCTTCTTAGGCTGGAAACTTTGAAGAGAGCTTTCTACTTTATTAGTAGTAGAATAAAAGGAAGGAAGAGCTTGAACTGATTTAAAGTAGGGTCCCAAATGAGTAGAGCTGTTTGCGAGTGGTACGATGTTTGATTTGAGAAAAACTCATGAAATTCGGCTTGTTAATAAACGAGCCGAACATGAGTTAAACTTTGTTCAGCTCGTGAAGCTCGCGAGCTAGCTCGACTCAATGTCTTGTTGAGTTAAACTCGTGAGATGACTCGTTTAGAGCTCATGATATGTCTCAACATATGGCTAGAGTGCCAACTCGATTACCGATTTATGGACAGATCAGTCTATATCTTATGATTTTAATTCTTATGGTTGTTAATTATATATCTCACCATATATAATATTTAACACGTTGAGTATGTGAGCAAATTTATCTTATTTTCTATAGTAAAAAGAAATTATGTATCATAGATTGCTTCGATATACTATGAAATAACATGATTTCATAGTAGTTAAAATTTATTAACTAAATGATATATGATACCAACAAAGTATAATATGAGATTAGCTAACAAAATATATCATATGTATCATGATATACTCAATGAAGTACCAAATAAAAGTCAAGATTTTACTAAACAAGCTAGCTCGAACTCGACTCGGCTCGTTAATAAACGAGTTGAGTTCGAGCTTAACTCATTTATTAACGAACCGAGCTCAAATTGAGGTAAAACTCGACTCGGCTCGGCTCATTTGCAGTCTAGTTTCAGGTCCCAACCAAGTGGGTTTGTTGATGGTCTTTGTTTGCTTCAGTCTCTCCATTGAATAAGGTTTGGTCCAGATTGAAACCCCCCAAATTCTGCTGCTTTAGGGTTAGGGGGTACTGTTTTTGTTTCTCATGCTCTACTGAACTGAACTCCTCTTTCTTCATTAGGGGGTCTAATGTAAAAGCTTTTGATGTACCAATTTACTGCACAGCTGTTGTACCCACTCTCTCTTACTGCTGCTTTTTTTCTTTTTTTTTTCTTTTTTGGATGGTATGAATCTATATGCAAGAACAGTTGGGGTGTTGTAAATGTTCAATCCCACTCGTGAAACCCGTAGCGAGCATTAATCGAATGGAAAGTTAAATCGTACACCATGTGTTTAACTTTATTCACTTCCGCGCCAACCGATGATCACTATGACTGCTGCTACGCGAGTCACCCGAATACGAATTCACTATCTCAAGATTGTTTTGGTTCACATGTCATGAGATTGTTGAAAGTAGTTACAAGTAGTTACTAGTTATCCTATTTATCAGAGAAGTGAGGACTGTTCGGAAGCTTTACTATTTTCTTTTGTATACTAGGACATCCACCATGGATAACAACAACTATTATTTACCATGAATAATCATATGGAACAATGAACGACTGAGATTGTGCCTAGTAAGCTCAATTTCCAGCACTAGGGATTGAAAAGTCTTCCAATGGTTTGATGTCCATGCCTAATCCCAGCGATGAACTGAAAATAACGGGCCTGGGTCGGAAATGTTTTGTGGGCTCACTTGCATGGAATGGTCCAAATAAGCATCCTCCTTCCTCCCATTACATTATGGTAGGGCTGGGAATCCAGACCAAACCGTATGGGAAACCACGGTCTAGATCGTATCGTATGGTTTGGTCTGGACCGTGAGATCAGAACTATGGTCTGGTCTGGTTTGCGGTCTCCTCCTTTAGTGCGTGGTCTAAAGTGGTCTGGACCGCGGTCTACCGCAGTAAATCGTAACAGACCGCGACACCCTACCTACTACCCTGGACAAAAATAACACTAAATTGAACCTCCATATGTGTATTTGAAGAACAAAGTTAGGTGATTCTTCATCCAGTTGAGAGCCAACAAATTGCAAAATGATCGCTTATATGTTACATCCTTATCAAAGTACCACACAAAAATCAGAAAGACTCATAAATAATATTCACATATAATGTCTAGACTATGGAGTCGATAAAAATTAAACACTAAAAAAAAAACCATTCACCTTGATGAGATAAGGAAAATTATTGAGAGATATGCCACCATCTTAGTAGTTCGAAATTACCTCGACGTCATCAAAAAAGTTATCAACTGGGAGAAGTTTCGGATCACTCGAGAGAGGAGAGAAGCGGTTGCACAAATAGGAATAGGGAAATAAGGCTATTTGAAAATTGAAAAAACCCACTTCTATCCTCATATTTCTTCTCATTTAATACGATCACAATTTTTTTGTTTCACTAGCATATTGGTCACTAGATTTTTTATAGATACCGGCGAAGGGTTGGAGGGCGAATAAGAGTTAATTTTTTTTAACATGGTCTGTCTGGTCCAGACCGTACCGGACCGCACCGCACAGGTGTGGTCTGGTCTGGACCGTATAGTTTATGGTCTGGTCCATGGTCTGTGTTCCAACCTCTCGGTCTGGACCACAGACCGTATCTATGGTCTGGTCTGAACCGGACCGCACCGTTTCCCACCCCTACATTATGGGCTTGTTTGTTTCATGGATTTGAAATATGAAGGTTTTGGTTAAAACCTGGGTTTTACAAAACCATGGATATATGATGGAATTGTCTCATTTGATTTTTGGTACAAACCATCGTTTGCTTGTTTGATTTCATGATGGATTTGACATTATTATATTTGTGTTTGTATTAGGAATTTACCTTAGTGCCCTTATTGAGTATTATTTATATTTACATTATAATTTTTGTTTAAAACAAGTTTCATCCAATAGGTTCGTCCCACTACCACAATCGGAATAAATGAACATCATTAATCAATAACAACATCATATTATACACACAATTAGACAATTCCTTAAGGTTTTCAATATTACAAAGTATGCTTTGCGATTAATCATGTAGTGTTTTCGTGCAATGAATAATAATAATAAATAGGGTTATAAGTATAGGGTCATATCATACCTATAACTCTAATAAATATTGAATGCAAAATTAATATGCACTTCAAGTTGGTAATTAGTAAATGAAAGAGAATGAGCATGTGATTAGTGAAATAAGTAGGGTTAAAATTGTAAAAAGTCATCATGGACTTTGTACCCCAACACAAATCCCACCTCTTGGGGTGGAATTCCCAAGTCCGTGGGGTCCACAGATTTGGACCCTCAAAGTCCATGGGCCCCACAGATTTATTCCTCCTAAATCCATTAAGCAAACGACGGATTGTGTACAAAGTCCATGATGCTTGGTTTTTAAGTACCAAATCCATGATCAATTCCATGAAGCAAACGAGGCCTATAGAGGTTCTAATTTGGAACCCCATTAGTTCAACTTTTCCTGCCTCATGCGCAGAGGGCGGAGGGGTGTTATGGACAAATTCATCTAATTTGTATTTACCATAGATAAATGCAAAAGGTGGGCCTAAGACTAGGGCTGTTAATCAGTCAGCGGTTACTCGGTTGGACCGAAAACCGAACTGAAAATGTCGGTTTTATAGTTAACCGAAAACCGAAATATTAATGCGGTTTGCGATAGCGAAGGAGGCAAAATTCGGTTGGCGGTCATAACCGAAACCGCGCGCGGTTAACCTCCCTAACCGCAAATCCCACTTCACCTGGCCAAACCGCGTCGTGCCCTCGCCTAGGTCTCCCTCTTGTCGCGATTACAGAGTAGAACTGAAAGGGGAACCCTAAATTCGACCTCCCAAAAAATTTCTCCGCCCGCCAATCCACCACCTCCTCCGATTTCCTCCCCAACAAACCCCAGCCCTCCCGGCCGCCTGTCGTCATCCTCGCCTCG